CACACACACACACACGCACAAACACACATGTAACCGAACAGCCCTTGCAGGGCAATACGTCAATGGATGTACGGCAGGGCTCGCTGCTTAACTGTGGCCAAACGGCCGTGATCACGCAGTCGGGGCTCCGCCGGGGGAGCATAAGCACATGAAAGACTACGCCACACGGGCCTACAGGGCCCGTCCCGGACATTCAGCCTAAAARCCTAAAACTTAGGGCTTACAGGCCCCGTTCATTTCAGCCTGGATGCTGAAAAACGAGGGCCTGCAGGCCCTACCTCGTTTCAGCCTATTTCTGGGTCTTTTCAGACCCAGAGTTTCAGCCTGAAACGGAGGGCCATTTTCAGGCCCTCATTGTTTCGACCTGCCCCTAAGACTCGGGCACGGAAACAGGGATGCGGAACAGGCCCAAAATAGCCTGTTCCTCACGTGCTCGAGCAGGAGCTGCAGCTGCAGCCCCTGCCTTCCTTCGGCAGGCTATTGAAAGGTCGGTTCTTGTTCTGGTCTGCACCTATACGGTATGCAACACTCTCTCTCACACACAGGCACACACACACACACACACACACACACACACACACACACACACACACACAGTGACACAGGCACACACACAGGCACAGGCACACACACACACGAGATGATTTGTGGAGGGAATAAGAGAGAGAATTTGGGGTTTTTGAACACACACACGCACAAACACACGTGTAACCGAACAGCCCTTGCAGGGCAATACGTCAATGGATGTACGGCAGGGCTCGCTGCTTAACTGTGGCCAAACGGCCGTGATCACGCAGTCAGGGCTCCGCCGGGGGAGCATAAGCACATGAAAGACTATGCAGGGCTCACTGCTTAACTGTGGCCAAACGGCTGTGATCACACAGTCGGGGCTCGGCCGGGGGAGCATAAGCACATGAAAGACTAGGTAGGATCCGCGCAATGGCTACCGAACCTAACCGCAAAAGAGCAAAAAGACAGTAAACAGCATATCCCCACGAACACTGTGAACATTACTCCATTGCACCACATCAACTGCGGCTATGGAAACCCTCCATGGCATACGAGTATATGCACCTTCTATGACCGCGCATCCCAACAAACTGTGAGGCCGTTCAGCTGGATGGACCTGGCTGCCACTCAGCACATGCGCTGGTTCAACTGCTGTGTATCTTCCCATATTTAGCAGGACTATTCATTCTCATTTTCCACTACCGCCGGAGTGAGAGACAGAGGGGGACGCTGGACCCGGTTTCCAGCACATTGGCGTCACTTGCATTGACGTGTTGGTTTGACAAAGATGTACTTATGGGACGCTGGACCCGGTTTCCAGCAGGTGCTGCTCCCCACCAATAGATGGAGCGGCCCAAAAAAGAAAAAAGAAAAAAAAGAAGAAAAGAGAGACAGAGGGAGGTCCAACCATAGGCAGTCCCCACACATACCAGAATTCTCATCATTGCAGGGCCCTCGTCAGGTGTTTCCATTTTTTTTCAAAAAGCCTCGAATGCTGTCCCACTCCGCCGCCCCCGCCCGCACCCTGTTGTACGGTCCCGGAATGAAAAGCAAACCCGTGCTAGTGGGACTTGGCCCCCGATCTTTCCCAACGGAGAAACCCACTGCAAAAATAGAACTGCCCATGCTTAGGGCATACTCACACTAGCGCTATGCAGTAGTCCGAGACGCCTTCTCTCCCCTCCTCCTCCTAATGGTGTATTTATATATCTTTATTTATACATACAATCTCTCACACCTCCTCCGCACGCCTGTTCTCCTTTTCACTTCATTCCTCCGCAGCAGCTGATTTCAAGTCCATTGCAAGGAGTCGGCCAGCCGGACATCAAGGCGGGTCGCTCAGCGTCGGTTGGAGGCGGGTTAGTCAGCTACGACTCCTGCTCGGGGAAGTAGAAGGAAGACGGCTCAGCAGGTCGGGATCGGGAGGCTCAGATACGCTGCGACGACAGGAGACAGGAGGCGGTTTAGCTGCGATAATCGGGCGGGGGGAGCCTGACTACGGCAAGTGCCCGAGGGCATCCGACAGGTATGAGACTACTCTGAATATTCAGAGACGCTTCATATTATCCACGTCAGTTGCCGTCATTACTCCAATAGAACGTGGCTGTATGTAGACTGACAGGTGCGCCAAATACGTACAGGTATAATGATCGTACCACGTTCTATTCGGATGAGTACCCTAGGCGGCAGGCACGAAGACCCCAGTCACAGCCCCGTCCATATATGTAATAGCGTCCTTCTCCTCGTCTTCCTCCTCCTCCTCCTCCTCCTCCTACTCCTACTCCTCCTCTTTCTCCATCTCCTTGCCCTCCTCCTCCTCCTCCTCCTCCTCCTCCTCCTCCTCCTCCTCCATGTCTTCCTCCTCCTCCTCCTCCTCCTCCTCCTCCTCCTCCCCCTCCTTGGTGGCAGCGCTTGATGATAACACACATGGTTGTTTTGTAAAACGGATTGGATTGGTAATAATTATTGGACTGCTAAGGGCCAAATACTCACAAAAGGACTTTCTTGGATGTACCTGAACGGAATCACGGACTGATCTGGATGTATCCGGTCGCAATTATGTCTCACTCACGAGCTCGCCGGCGAAAGTCCTACCGGTAGTAGGGTGAACATGCTCTAAGCGAAGTGCCGAAGGAGAGTGGATTGCAGCAGAGAGTATTTCCAAAGGAGGAGGTGGCACCGTTTTCCACAACGCACCCTTAAAGTGGCTGCATCAGCCCGGAAAGATAGCTTGTGTACAGACACTAATATCAGCGTGCGTTGTGTACCGGGAAGGATGGTAGTGAGCGAGGGTCCGTTCCCTCTCCCCCCCCCCCCCCCCCTTCCTCTCCTCTTTTGGTGGTAATGCGGAGCGGTGGTGATAACAAGATGGACGGACGGTTTCCTTGCTTTGTGCTTTTAATACATCCCGATCCCGATGGCAGTCTGCTGTGTGTCGACAGACGCTCTATTTGCACCAGACACGTGTACTATGCAGTGTCCGATCCCGACCGACTGGCTGCGCTTCCATGCTCGTTTGTTCCCTCCCTGCTGCCCGTAATCCGGCACGCACCCCCAGCGAAATGGCTTTTTTTTTTTTTTTTTTTTCCGGTTTCGTTCCTGTTAATGATGCAAGTGTTGCGAATGCGGAGCAGCAGCCAACCACAAGGGGTCGAACCGTAATGTTGGATTGGTCGGTTCAGTTCAATCCGCTCAGTGGTAATGATGAGCAACCACAAGTCTCGCGAACGATCATTCGGACGACGGACTTGATAAGAATGGAAAGAAAAGCACCTCGCGCCAATCAACCCATTCGAGATTTGCACACCCTGCTAACGATCCAAGTGCTCGCAGGGGAAATACACACACACACACACACACACGGGGGGTTGGAAACATGCTTGCATGGAGGAGGGCCTTGGGCCGAGATGTAGGGATCTATAACTACTGTGGAGGGCTCCTGTGAACCCGCTGGCAAGCTAAGACCCGTGCGTGTGAGCGGGGGTAGGTACGAGTGCGGTTCAGGTGCTGAGTGGAGTGAAGTGTGCGAGAATTGCCGCGTCCATGTGGTGTTGTGTGTGGTGTCCGTCGAGTTGGACACTGCAGCCTTGCAGGGGTGGGATGGATATCGTCGCTGTCCCCAAAAAAAAAAAAAAAAAAAGATATCGTCGCTGGTTTGGTTACATTCTTCAACACCGTGTCCTGGTTGTAGTAACAACACAAAAACAACAGATGCATGACGTTGCGTGTTTTTTTTGTTTTTTTTTTTTTGGGTGTGCGAGTCTCGAATGGATTGATTGGCGCTTTCCATTCTTACCAAGTCCGTCGTCCGAATGATCATTCGCGAGACTTGCGGTTGCTGCTCATTAGCAAGAGGGGGGAGGGGGGGGTGAACTGATCCGACGAATCCAACATTACGGTTCGACCCCTTGTGGTGGGTTGCTGCTCCGAGTCCCACTAGCAGCGTTGAGTTCCTTCAACTCCTGAGTCTGGACGTGTTTCGGGACATGGGCGATTGAAGAAACTCAACGCCATTTCTGGACATCTCCACAAAGACGACCAGATTCGGGCGTTGAGGACACTCAACGCTGCTCCGCGATCTTAACACTCGGATCTTTCGCAGCGGCGCAGAGTACTGTGTTTTTTGTTTTGTTTTGCTTCTGTTCTGCTTTTTTTTTGTTTTTTAATCTCTGTTGTTGAAGATTTTCGGCCTGGCCACACCTATCCCGAAACCACCGATTTGGAGAGGAGAAGCATCGCCATACCAACTCTCCAAAATCGGTGTCAGAAAAAAATTGGAGAGCGGCCTGGACGCGGGTTTGAGGAGTGGTCACGAACTTTTCGAGAGACTCAGCCTGCAAAGTGGCCCTTTCGGAGAGAGGTCCGAGGCAAACCCGATTTCGGCCCGAAAATGGAGAGTGTGCCGCGACCGACAATCCTCTGCGGCCTCATGAAAACTCGGGAAAATTCACGGGGTTCTTCTGAAACAGTCGAGAGTTGTAAAAAAAAAAAAAAAAACAGTGGAGAGTGCCTCTTCGTGAGTGCAATGTGGCGGTGACCCCTCTCGAACCGGTTTTCGAGGTAGGTGTGGCGAGATGAAACACGTCTGGCACAGTCGGAGTGAATGTCTGGCACAGTCGGAGTGAATGTCTCCGTGAATGTCACCATGGTAACAATGCGGCCTTTATATTTATAGATTTCGAAAAGGCTTACGATCATGTAGATTGGCGTTTTCTGGAAGCATGTCTAACGGAGTTAGAGTTTGGACCGAAAATGAGGAGATGGATCCAGATTCTACACACGAATGCCGCTACCAGGGTACAAGTGAATGGTTTACTGTCACCAGAAATTCCACTTCAGAGATCGGTTAGACAAGGAGATCCTCTGGCTCCCTTCCTCTTTGTCATCATCATGGAAGCATTAGGAGTTAATTTGAGAAAAAATCAAAACATTCAGCAGTTAAAGATAGTTAACCTTCCTAAGGATGCAATCCCAATTTACTCTATGTTTGCAGACGATCTGATAATCATGATGGAGGCCTCTACAACTAACTTTGAGGAAATCAAGGCAATAATGGATAAATTTTCAGCCTTATCCGATATGTTGGTTAACTGGGGGAATAAAACATTGGGTTGGTGGATCCATTCACAAGGAGTAAGGCCTCCAGAACTCCCTAATATTCAATGGGTCCCCTTGGATGCACCCATAAGGGTATTAGGAATAATTCTCACATCACAAGGAAAGTCGAACTCTAATGACATATGGATCTCTTCTCCGGCGCTGGAAAAGATGAGGGTGTGGAAAAACAAACACACTTCAATCTTTGGGAGAGCACTGATAATCAATAATGTGGTTCTGGCATCAATCTGGTACAAGTCATTGTTGTGGCCTTCGAGTACGAAACCCACAAAAGATATACAAAGACAGCTTGCAGCATTCCTTTGGAGAGGGGATCATGAGTTACCACATGTAATTCCAAGAGTTGCCTGGAAGACTTTAATCCATCCAAAGACCAAAGGAGAGATTGGACTTATTGACCCAAAAACACAGTGTCTGGATTTGGCTCTTCAAGTTGTAAAACGTTTAATCCTAACTACAGATATACGATGGCGGGATCTAGCACTAAAGCAGATTTGTAGATTAGCCCCTCGAACTACAGAGGAAGTGCATCAAAATGACACAAGGGCTAGGGAAAGACTGGACGGATTTTGGGCTAACTTATTGAGGATCTGGCGTGAGATGCCCTTGCCGGATAAAGCCAAACCTGAAAGACTTGAAGAAGTCTTACGACAACGGTTACCCCTTTTTGGTAACAGATGGATTACTGACCATAATGGCAGTCTTTATAAGCTCAGAGTCACCTTGGTCAAATTGGGTCAAGAATGGAGTAGTAAGAATAAAGGATTTGTGGGATCCAATAAATAAAACCTGAAAGACTGTGGAAGAACTTAGAAAAATGATTAAATATGCACACAATCTAATGCATAATTTGGAAAAAATTACGTCATCCATTCCTTTGGCTTGGACATTGTTGCTTAAAAAAAGCTCGCTGTTCCGAATAGCAGACTGGGTGTGTTTAAATTGTCATGATGGAGCCAAGGCAATATGACAAATCATGGATATACACGAAGAAGGTGCCCTGGTAAATATTTTTAAATACTGTACGGAAAAAAAAAAAAGTGGCAAATTTTTCTACCTTAGTGTCCCATACCGGAGCTTCCCTTAGATCCAGCTGAATGGGTATGGCGGCTAAACAAGAGAAACAAACCCTTAAAACTKTAATCCTTGAGTGTAAAGGCCTCTTATAGGCTACTTCGACCTAAAATAGAGGTGTTCGAAATAATACAGGATCGATGGTATAGACACCTAAACATAAACAAGGATCTAATCAAACCAATGAAGTAGTACAAAGATCTGAATGAGAGGCCAGCTAAGTTTGCGTCTTTACAATGGCAAATAATACATAGGTGCCTACCCACTAATGATTGGTTAATAAACCATTCTTCTCTTGAGCAAAATGGTAAGGCAGTAGGAAAATCAGAGAAACAATTGAGCAAATCTTCCTACAATGCCCAGGCTCTGTATTACTTTGGAGATTATGAGACTATGTATGGAAAGGACCTACAGGCCTGGATTGGCCATGGGAGTGGAGGGCTATTCTTCTTGGTCACTAGAATCCTGTTATGATTGAACTATCGCAGTTTCAACATAACTTATTCCATTTAAGCAGGAAAGCGGTGCTGTGGGCATTATGGCAAAAAAAATGTATAAGAGTCATTGAAGGAGTTATAGTTGGAAAACAGGAAACGGTGGATACAATTCAATAATTTATTCAATCTGAAATAAGATTTTAATGGAAAAAAACGAAAGTCAAAATGATTGAATATAAACAAAAGAAGGATATCCCAAAAAGAATCACAAAATTCAGTTTGGAATGGTTAGGGGATGCATTAGGGGAGAAACTGGGGAAGGTGGAGTGGCCAGGAGGAGAAGAAGATCAGGTGACCTTTAAGCGAGATTACCAGATTACTTTCTACAACTGGCTTG